CACACACACACACACACACACACACACACACACACACACACACACACACACACACACACACACACACACACACACACAAAAATATCACTCAATACCCAAAAAGCTCCACTTCCACCCATAACCAAGAGACCCGAGCCCCCCATTGAACTAACCGAACCTTAACACGCCGTCACCTTTATAACAACCCCAGCCGGCGACTTAGAACTAAGGGAGAAGTTACATGGGTCGACGCACCCGGACACGCTATGGGGTGCTAATAGCATTGGACAGGTGCTACAGTACTGTATCAAGGAAAGTATAAGGATGCCGAAGAAGTGCACTATTGCAGCGTAATATTGTACCTCATTGCTCGGCTAACATGCTGTCCAAAACATCAATTGGTGTACGCCTGGGTGCTGCAATATCCAATACTTCCTTGCTGGTCGTGGAAGAAGTGCATTCCCCATCCCATACTGGGCCCACGGCACGTTTAAGTGACAAGATAACGTTCTTTGACTCCCCAGCTTTCGCGAAGTTATGCTCGTAGTAAGAATCGAGGAATGAGACGTCCCTGAAGATAACATCCTCGACTTTGGTACCGGTGCGCTGCTCAATCATCTCGACAATCTGCACCCCGGTGATATCCTCCGGCCCGTTAAGGTTGTATTTCGCCCTATTGTGCACAGCAGGATCTTCAAGCGCCAGGAGATGCGCCGCAAATCTCCCAACATCGTCCGGGTCAATGATACCCACAGGGGCATCTTCCGACCCCATCAGTCTCAGAGTCCCCTGCTTTTTGGTTTGGCGGTAGTGTTGAATAAATTCAACGGCGGGAGCGAGGTAGTACTGAGAGAAGATATTGGGCTGGAGCGAAGTCCACTGCATACTTTCGAACTCTGGGGTACTCAGCAGAGCCTCGATTGCCCAGTGGGCGCGTTGGTAGTATGCACGCGAGTTCGGGCGAACAGCCGCGGCGGTAGTTGATATCCGCACCACGTACTTGACATTGGCTTCCAGCGCGGCAACGTGGAAGGTGGTTTCTTCGGCGAATTGGTTAGGATTATTGTGCGATGCGATGAAGGCCCTGACAACCTCGTTCTCTCGGAGCCACTCGGGGGTTATTTCGACCCAGCTCTTCTCTACCATCTCGATGCCAGGGAAGGTGGCGAGCTGCTTTGCGGCTGGCGAGTCCAGAGAACGCGTGAGAGCAAGGATTCGGTAGTCAGATAAGGCCTTGTTGGTCTTGAGCAGCCTGGGCAGAGTTTCGGTGACGCTGCGGCCAGTGTTCCCAGTTGCGCCGGCGATGAGGATAGTTGGAGCCATGTTCGAAGGAAGATAAATGTTTTACTCGGGAGTTGTTGTCTGGGAAAAGCGCATATAGATGCCAAATACACCGGGCTGCCCATGAAGTTATATCCTTGGGGGATCGCCGGGGGCTACAAGTGGCTTAGTAAAAACTCACCGGTGACGTGTGTTCTTTCAAGGAGCCAGAAGCATGATTGTGTCAGTGGGCACTCCGAGGTGGGATGTCCGGATCGAGTGGGCTTTCCGTTGAGTATTTTGATTATCAATCCACTGCTGCTTTCTGAAATCTACCGGGTTCGCCTCGGCAGTATGCCTAGGTTTTCTCCACCCTGACAGTATGTCAGAGTCCAAAGCCTTCAATAGGTCCCATGGTTACAAATGGTTGCGGGAATCGGAACCTGATGGTGAAAACATCGCGGTCGTCGTTTAAGATGCGTAGACGTTTAGGAACAGTTTTATATCACTAAAATAGAGAAGTCTAGATTCTAGAAGGAAGTTTGTCAAGAGAATGGTCTACATAATCTTAATTCTCGCGTGCAAGCGTGCATTTCAGCTATTGGCGCGTATCATACAAAACTATCAGATATCTAGCCTCAAGGTAGATATTGAATTACCAGCTATAAATGCGAGGAGACACAGACGCTTAATCCGTGACTTGGATGACAACCTTGCCAACCTGTTGTCCAGATTCCAGCCTCTGATAAGCCTCACCGTATTCCGAGAAAGGATACACCCGATCAATAATAGGCCGAACCTCATGCCTCGCCATCGCCGCAAGCATTGCCTCGAAATCCAGCCTGGGACCAATCGCTGATCCCGTCACCGTTAGGCTGCGAGAGAGGATTTCGAGGGGCGGTAGCCCGCCGCCAAAACCGCTCGCAAACCCAATGACCGAGATAATACCCCCAATCCTAGCCGACGCCGCGGACTTGACAATAGTCTTCTCGCCAGCGATTTCCATCACCCGATCAACCCCCTTTCTGTTGGTCAGGGCAAGTATCTCGCGATCCCAGTCCGGACAGGTCCTATAGTTCACAACTGCATCGGCACCCAAGTCCTTCAGCTGCGCAGCCTTCTCGTCGGATGAGGTAATTGCGAGTACACGCGCCCCAAAGATCTTCGCAAACTGTAACGCAAAGAGCGAGACTCCCCCAGTACCCTGGATCAGCACGGTCTGGCCCGGCTGCAGCGGCTCGATTTTATTCAGAGCTGTCCACGCCGTAACCGCCGCACAAGGGAGGGAAGCAGCCTCGGCATAGGACATGTAGTCGGGGATATGAACAAGCGCCTGTTCATCGAATACCACATACTCAGCCAGCATCCCGTCTACAGCGAACCCGATGCTGGCGGTATAGTACTCCGGAATAAATGGGCCACCGATCCAGTTTGTGCAGCAGCTGACTGCGATTCGATTCCCGGGCTTTACTCGTGTGACTCCCGGTCCAACGGCTATGACCTTGCCGGCGCCGTCGGAGATAGGGATCACGTCACGTTTGGTTTCCGCGGGGTACTCACCCCTCAATACGGCTGTGTCGCGATAGTTTAGGGAAACGGCGTGTACCTGAATCAGGACTTCGTGTTTGCCTGGGAATGGTAGTGGTTCGTCGCGGACCTCGGGATTGGCCTTGGTTCCGGCCTTGACAAGGCGTACTGCTTTCATTGCTATGGTGGTTGGACGATAACCGAAGGCTTCAAATGAACAGGAAGCTTTCATCCGGTTTGGCTCGATCAAAATGATGAGCCGAGTACCGAGAATTCAGCGGTGGTCAGCAAGATCTTAGAGGGGTGACATTCAACCGATAGATCCTTTATTTATACTGCGAGGGCCTCGGATCTCGATAAAGTGCTGACATCATCTTAGTTACTTCACATCAGGATATGTACCAATACTGTCTCCCTTGAACATCGGTTCCATGTGTTGGTGCTAAGAGTGGATCACAGTGGGACAAATTATTAGTCGACTTCAGCGTATTTGTCAAGTTCGGGCATGAAGTATTTCGAGACTTTTGCAGCAAGTGGGCGCTCCGAGAGCGGGCACTCCGAGAAAGTGGGTCAGAACATTATGTACAGTAATAAGTGATAAGGTTTTAGCTCAGGCTGACCGGGAATCCCACCCCTCGACGGACTATCCCCCTTTTCCTATACAAACTGACAGACGAACCTCTCTCATGCATGTGACGCCTTTCGGCCTGTTGGGTTGTAAGATAGTCTCAATATTAGAAAAATAAACTCAAACCCATTTATCTGTCGGTTTCCACACTGTAAGGCGAGCTATCAGCGGCAGGAGCATCGTCGTCGCCACGAGGCTCAACATCACCAACACCAGGTGTTCAAGTGTACGACTTGTGGCCAGAAAATTGGCCGACGGTATGTATAATTATTCCCCAAAGTTGGCGAAACACAGTAATCCTAATAGTGGCGTTTCAGTGACACGCTCCGACGGCATATACAGAAGATGCATGGAATCACAGAACCGGCTCTCATCAAATATGCATGTACAGGCTGTCGGGTACAGAAGGCTCGATGCGAAGGAGGGCCACCATGTAGCAATTGTCTCCGGCGCGGTATACAATATTCTGTGGGTCAAAACGCTGAAGCACAGCAAATCGGCAAAGTTAGTAGCCAGGAGGCAGCAATTTCTCGTGATCCCCCCACGGAATCAAAGAAAAGCCGCTCTAGAAAGGAAGAGCGCTATATTAATCTGTACTTCAAGATTTTCCATCTATATTGGCCATTTATTCACCAAGGCTCGTTTCGCGAATATGATGAGACGCCGTTACTTATCCAGTCGATCAATATTATTGGCTTATGGCTAAGCAATAAAGACAATGCACAGTCAAGGGCGATTGCCCTGCATAGCGTACTTAGCTCTGCTATACACGAACAAACGGTATATGACCGACTATCCCATCCTAGAACAGTCTTCCTTACTATCCACAAACACAGAAGTAATGGGACGCTTCCGATTCAGAACAGACATATGGTTTCTGTTTCTGGCCTATCCCGACATACCAGGTTATTTTACTCTATATAATATTCACTATACTATATAAAGGCGGCGGAGCGCTGGGTCTAGATCTGAAACCCTGTCTATCACCGGCTGATGCCAATCTCTTTGATAGGCTTGTCAAAAGTTGCAAGAGGCTGCGCATGCTACACTATCCAAACATGCTAGCGCGATATTGTGACAGCGATCTCCCGGCATATGTCTGGGTAAGTATCGAGGAAGTGAAACGATTTAATATAGCACTATATAGAGTCTGCAAGGTGTGCAGCGAGCAGGGAAGTAGGACCACCGACTGTAATGTAATACGGGGATCGAGCAGGCGGCTTCGAGCACAGGATTTACAATTTCCTTTACCGAGGAACACTCGATTGTGGAACGCTGTAGATAAAGCGGGCTGGGAATCCGCAGCTACAGAGGATGTCTTCTGTCACAGGCTGAAGGACACTTTGAAAGGCGAGTGGATATCAGATTCGGCGCATGTCTTGGAGATGTGCTGAAGGAGCGTTGCAACTTGCAAATTCCAACATGGAGACCCTTCTAGGTAAGCGTAAGTTTTACTCTTCCCACGCGCCGTGTCTAATGATAGAAATGCTGCCCAATTAGTCAACATGAAGTACTTCAGCTACGCTATGAGCTTCAGCGTCCTCCTTTGAGTCAGGATTCATGGCAATCAGCCGGCTAACAGCGACTAGTATTGGAAGCCCTCCCGATACGAAGAGCCTTCATCAAATTCTCCAAAAGGTTACAGACCTTCCGGATTTCCACAAATTGAAAGTGTAGAGCAGTCAACCAGTTGCCTGGAGACACGATTGTAATTTCGAGAATCTACTTCATCTGGAGATTAACGGCCTCGGATGCCAGCAAGCAACTTTGAATCTTCCAAGCTTTCCTGCTAAAATTTTGTGGTGTCACCAAGTTATTACACAATTTCACGGCTATAAACATGAACGGTTGGATATTCTGTGATAATTGGAAATGTATGAATGAGAGTCTTGAAAAAATATGTCTTCGATCTTTCTTCCATCTTCAAGAGAGAGCCGGCCCTCCCGTCCCATTGACCTGAATTTCTCATGTTTGAAGACTCTCGAACTGGAAAACTAGAGTGGCACGGGTTCCCCGCTGGACCCCCCCCCGTAGCTGTAAGCCCATCGCTCCGGCGCACTGGTTTAATACTCTGGGAACGCTCAGCACACACACACTTCTATCTATTCCCACACTCCGGGAGCAATCACTGAGCAAAAAGCGGCCCTGAGCTAGTCCCGTTCCGGAAAGGGAAAGTCGCAAAGTTTCTAAACACGAACCGTTCACTAGCTCGCAGAGCTTCTCTTCCAGAACACTGCGCCCACAACACTAATGTTACGTTCCATACTTCAACCGCTACTAAAGAAAAAGACAAAAAAGTATTAACCTCCTAATTCCGCTTCAAAAGCCCCTGTCTGGTTCTTGAATAAATCAACACGACTTTTTACCTCGTCTTGGACTGTACTGCTGTGCTAGCTAAAGTGGTGTTCTATTCTCGTATACAAGGTTTCATTGTATTGATCGATAACCTCGACCCAACCTGCACAATTAATTTAGAAATGGCTGCAACAGCCTTACCTCATGTTACTTGGTGGTCGCAGGGCCTCCGGCAGCAAAGTCGAAGCTGGCTGCTTGGGCGCCGGATATGGACTTTAGAAAGCTCGAGATTGAGAGCAACCCGGAGAACCAGAGGCTCGAATCCGGCAAGATTGACCTTATCATGGTGTTCTTAGTCCTGTGTGTATATAGAAGATCCCGCGGAAGCTTATGCGCCAACAAATTTGAGATGGTGGGGGATTGTCGACATCAAAGACTGACTTGTCTGAAGGTAGGAATATCCCTATCATCCCAAAGAAGTTTAGCCTATTTAGGTCTTGGTCCGTGCACGTGCTTACATACATACATGCCTTTGCGTCTCGACTGTACCATCCACTTTCCTCCATACCTCTGATGTATGATGAACCCGATGCTACAGCAGTTCCGGATCTCTGGAGTTGGTACTAATCATGGTGCTCCTCGTGGCTCGAATGGCACCTCTGCGCTATCGACAAGCTTTGACGTGCCAGCAGGGCCCCGACCGAATCGGGCCTGCGACGTGTGCCGGAGGATGAAAATTAAATGCGACAGGACGTACCCCTGTAGTCATTGTCGCGAGTCTTTCAATGGTACGATCTCGTAATCTCTTCGGGTTGATGGGCGCTGCTGATTAGATAAAGAGTGTGTATTCACTCAACCACGGCGGAGGAAGAGGAGCCTGGCCCAGCCTGACCGGATTGAACATCTTGAGAAGCGGTTGAAGGCGGTAGAAGAGTCGTGTCAACAGCGAGCTGCGACAAAAGCTGCATCTACTTCTGTCGGGTCTACAGACGTAGTGCATACTAACCAGGGGAATCTCAACGAAAATCCTGTTTCAGACACTAGTGACCATGTTCCCAACGTCAGATTGCCTTCGGCTCCTGAAAATCAAGGAGAGGCTCGCTTTCTCCACTCTGCGGCGCACATGGACTTTGTAAGACGCTTGAAAGATGAGCTGGGAAATTGGCCCGGGGCAGATGCTGAAAACCGAGTGCGAGCAAGGAATGTGCCGGCACCAAAGCTATTCCCATTGGCAAATGGTCCGGATCAACCAATATCATTACCATCGCAGGACAAGGCGCGCCATTTAGTTAATCTGGCTCTCAATGCGCACTTCTTACACAATTTTATACGCCGGCCAACTTTCGATTCCGTTTTCACCTTACTGTTCACCCTGAACGTCAGGGATTATAGTGGTGAAGAATACCGGTATCTTCCACTGCTATTTGCCCTGATGGCTTTGGGATGTCTGTTTGAAATGGATGATCGGGGATCCCGGGAAGCATTCATATTGGAAGGGTGTGTTATTTGTGGATTACCGCCTCAACGGCTGGGGAGCTGACACCGATAGAACCCAATACTTCGAAACGTGCCGTAGCCTGGCTGAGCTGCAAGACTGTAACGACTTGGTCACTCTCCAGGCCATCCTCTACATGAATATCTTTCTCCTATACACCGCCCGGATAAGCTCAAGTTTCTCAGCTCTCTCCTACACCTTCTCATTGGCGCTACGTATGAAATATCATCAAATTGCTGAGACGGATGATGCATTTACCCGAGAAGATAAAAAGCACATTTTCTGGACGACACGTCACCTTTTGGCTTGTGTCTCTATTACAGGTGGCCTGCCTATGCCTATTGGGTGCGATGACCTTGATCTTGAGTATCCAAGTGTTGAGTGCGAGGGTAGAATACGTTCCACCGAGACGCATTCCGACAGCCCAGATAACGTGGTACAATGGAACCCAACTATAGCCAGTGTTGCATGTTTCCGACTACATAACATCCTAGGCCATATAACTAAGCGACTATACCCATTGAAAGGCGCCAAGAAAACCAACAGCCAAGGGCCATTGCGCCATCTAGTGAGTAAAGAGACTGTCCGGGAACTAGAAAGCGAGCTTCGGTCCTGGCTGGCTTCACTTCCTCCAAGCCTCCGCCTCGGTCAAGAGAAACACCCACTGCACATCGAACGGTAGGCCCAATTCTCCCTTTACAATGACCCAACTTTTTCTTCTGGCCTGACATGGTGCAGTGCACAATACGAGCTATGCATGTCGTACGCACATGCTCAGATCTATCTGTACCGGCCTTTCCTGCACTACCTAGTCACTTCATCTACCGGCGAAATCCGATCAGCAGATGGCTTCCCCGCGTATGCTTCCACCTGTGTAGATGCCAGCCGCAACATCATTCGGCTTGCGCAGGACATGTATCACAGGGGACTTTTTCGCGGAGTACATTGGGACATTTCGAATATGATACTGGCCTCATCCTTAACGATGCTTTATATAATCTTAGCGAGAAAGGGTTCATCGGTTGAGGAAATGGCCCTAGCAGAGCTGCGTACTGCTCGGGATCTCATGACTCTTTTGGAGCCATACACAACGCTCGCAAAGAGGACGAGCATTGCAGTCAAGGTATGTATTGCGTAGTTACATTTAAATGCGGAAGACTTTATTGAGAGGCTGTATAGCTTTTGACGACTGCAATTCTTCCTACCGGAACAAGCGACCTGTCTTCAGAACATGTGGTACCTAGTCTGTCCACACAGGTGTCTGACCCATATACCGCTACTCTGGCAGATAAAACGTTTGGTTTTGTGCCGAGGGCCGATGTGTCGGAGCACCAGGGGATGGCACCAGTCAGAAGACAAAGTACCTCTGTGCCAGTTCCGTTGGCGACTGAGATATCAGCAGATAGCCTCTCGCAGAGACCTCTTCAAGCTGCAACTGCTAGTACAGAAAGAAACACTTGTCAAGGCTCTCCAGTGCTTACGGCAACTCAAAGCTTGAGTGCCTCTGCTCCCTTTTCGATATTCTCGGGCATGCACAATACGCCGTTCGTTAGTGATGGGATTACGGAGCACAATACCCTCCAATCTGCATTCGTACAGGATTACGGAATTGGTGGGGATGACTATGGGTATATGGCTGATGGCACTGGGCCGATCGACTTTAGTGATATGATCGGTGACCTGTTCGCTTCAGAGGGGTTGCTGTAACGCGGCTACGCCTGTGGGGAGGTCGATAGATAGCTGGTCCCTCTATGCGCCTGAGCTATATCTGGCATCTGACAGCAGGCATCCTCTTGGAGGAAGGGCTAAACTGTTCATTTATTGAGGTCCATACTTGCTTGCCAAACTATACTATTCTAGATCAACCTTGAACTTCTGTCGAAGGGATGCACCGATGCGGCGAAAGAGGATAGGCAGCAAAACCATCGCCAGTGTCACAAATCCTAGGAGTGAATTCCCCCAACCGTATCCGAGCTTTGCATACATGGGCGGTCCTGCCAACGGCAATAATGCACCAAAGAGTGACCGAGTAACAGTCAATGCGCCAATACCGGATGCTGCATAGCGAGGATAGGAGTCAATTATGTATGCCTGCAGTGTCCCAAAGATACCGATGATACCGAAGGCAAACGGAAAAAGGCCTATAATGGGAACGATCCAATGTGTCTTTTCCTGAACAGACCAGCCATACCAGAAAAACGAGATTGGCACGAAGAACGCAAATGGCAAGCACAACGGAAGACGCATCTCGGGTTCCAGAATGTTATTATTGCGTCGTTTCAGCCGGACAAGCATCCGATCGCTTGTCAAAGCGAACACTACCTGGCCTGCGAAAAAGCCTAACCCTAAACCGATATATGCAAGGCCACTGGTTTCTACACTCCACCCGTACTGGTCCTGGAAAATTGATGTGACAGTGGTGAAGAGAAGATAGAGACAGCCATAGACTGACGCAATGTAAAGGGCCATGATCAGTACGATGGGCGAAGTTGCCAACAGCTTGATGACCCTGGTGGATGTTCTCATCAGAAGAGTCGCTGGTCCGCGTGTCTCACCCTCTTTCTCATAACAGCTGCGAAGCTCAGGACGGTTCAGCTCCTTGCGCAGAGCCACTGTCTTCCGCCGGATGAGCACGGTCGGATTGGTCTCTCGGTTGGTCACCATGACAATACCGGTCAATGTGCCTCCTACGATGACCAGCACCCAGAATGTCCACCGCCACCCGGCACGTTGCGCAATGTATCCTCCACAGATTGGTCCTATGACTGGCGCGAAGAGTGGGCCGAACGAGAAAAATGACAAAGCCAGTCCACGTTGCTCTGCCTCGAAAAGGTCAGCAATCACACCGCCTCCTATTGTCAGACAGCCGGACCCTCCAAAGCCAGTGAAGAAACGAAAAACAATCAAAGCTGAGAGATTGGGTGCGAGAGCACAGCCAATTTGAAATAGCACAAAGATTGTAGTGGCCGCGTTCAATGTGACCCGACGACCACATACCTCACTGAGTGGAGATAGAACTAAGGGGCCGCTCTGGCAGTATGCACCTGTTAGCGAACCACTATAACCTAACGACTTGGGGACATAAAACGCACAAAATAACCGAACAGGTATGCCGTCACTGCGAAGGAGCTGCGTATGGAGGATGTATTCCCGAATTCTTGGTCGGCAAGGCTAACACCGGGTGCGAATACCGATGATGCAAATGGGCTACAAACTGGTTATCAACGCGAAGGTCCTGAACGGTTGCAAGATATTTCGTTCTCTTGCCTGATGAACGTGATAATGCTCACTGTCGCTAACTGGAACCATTTCCGAGATGACGGGTAGTTTCTGTCGTTTTGGTGTCAGTAATCTAGTTTCTCTGTCGTTATGATGATAAAATTTTACCTGGGATTTAACGGATCGTCCTGGCTTTCCCATCCAACTATGCCGTTGCCCAAGTCCATCTCCGGATATATCTCCCGACTGACTGCCGGTTCCTATAAAGCTTGCTGTGAGCAGACATCAACTACGGGTTCAGATAGCACCCACAGCCTGTTTGTTCTTTTCCTCGTCGGACATGGTGCGATATCACGCCCTATAAACCCTCCGCGTTCAAAAAGTTTAGGAAAAGGTTGCTGTCGCTAACGTGTCGCCCCGTCCCTATTTATTGAGGATGTTATCGACCGTATAGAAAGAGATTCGATATGCCAAGACATTTTCCCGAGGTTGAGGTTAGCGCATTGAGGTACTGTCCAATAGGAGTGCCTAAAAAGACAAAAACAAGAAGTGGACTAACTAAAAGCTCGGCCCTGTAAGAAAGGATTCCCGATATTGAGGTTAGCTCATTGCCTTTTCAGGACCATTGTAACCGTATTGAGGAATAAAAACCATTACTGTTTTGACGTAATTGGTAAGCAAGCGGCCCTAGAAATTAAAGCTATGCAAACACCGAAAAATCTGCATTTCTATAGAAAACTTAAATAGTCGGATGATTAGGATATTTAGTACTTCTATATACTAGAGTATTAGAACTAGAGTATCTTGGGATATGTACGTGCTGAATTTCCACTACAAGGCCCAGACCGATCTATATAACGAGCTGGTCCGGGAGGAGTGCGCGCGCGTACGGGAGAATCTGGAGGATGATGGGATCTCGGATCTGGTTAATTAATCCTTGGTTGCCCCCAATCTTGAGGCTGACGATCTAGAAGTAAAGGCCGGCGTGATCACCGGCACCGGCTATGTCGATGAATATCCTCAGTGGTATAGTACCTATTTGTACTGCCGTCGGCGGGTGGATGTGGATGAGAATAAGGTTAATACTCCTAATGCCCCCAATATCCAGAATTGGGGATGGCGGGTGGTCTTTGTCGAGGCTGAGCCGGCGAGCCCTCTTACTCCTCTAGTACTGTACGGGCGCAAGCCGCGGTTTGACTCGATCCCTGAGTTTCTGGATTGGTACTGGACCTGGCCGGACCATCTGGATGCGCGGGGCCTGCTGAGTCTTCGACGTCACGCAAATAGATGTGAAACTGATTGTGAATCAGACTGTGATATACACAGCTTTGTACCGGCTCCTTTCCCTCCGGGCTATGATGAGAAGGAACGTATCTAGCTGTCTACGCCAAACCGAATCCTTTGGTTGCAGTGTATTGGGTTCAACAGAGGGTTTACGCCGAACAATGATAAGCGGCTATTGGGAGGTTCTTACACGGTGCGCAGGATTATATACTGTATAAGGACTCGATGACTAGTCTCAGCATGAGTTCGTTGTTCTGAACTTACTTTACTACTAGCAATAGTTAAATATAGAGAGTACTTATCCTAATTACAAGGATCTATTTTAAGTTAATAGCTATTGTTGTTTTAGCGTTATAAAGGGCTAAAGGCTATTATATTTACTAACGACATGTAATATATGGCTGAAGTACGGCTGAATGGATAGGAAGCCCTGTTCTCCATACCCTATGGTCGTATGTACTGGTTAACTAGTGGCAGAGGCTTATATGGAGTAGCACATCTTGATTTCCATTCGTACCATTAGAGAAACGTTCGTCCCGAGTCTTTGATTTTTCGGCTGGAAATAAGTACGATAGACCAGATATATTATGAGAGTCGTCAAAGACTCATCCAACTCAACACTCGCAGAGGCATATAAAACATGGACTACAGGAGTGTCGGAATGAGTACAGACACGCTTTCGTTAAGGGGATTCTGAGATATATCAGCCTTTGTAGCTTCACTGGAGGGTGTTGGAGGTTGGGCTGATTGCCGTCGGGATAGCTTCAAGGTCCTAAGGTAAGATATATTTTATGTACTGGGCACACTCCCTGAATTCAACCTTTTGCAATAGGTACATGGACCTTACAAGCATAAGTACTACGAGGTGATAATGTAAACAACTGAAGGAAAACATTTATAGAAGGATATGTGCATTCAGCGAGATGCTGAATCTTATATTATAAGACATATATCTCTATACAACACCAAATAAAGTAATTGAGAGTGGCCTGCGCCCTGGGTATTCATACACCAGAGCCTAACCTACGATCAAGCATTGTCCGCTTAGCAAGAAGCGCCAGAAGGAACGTTCTGACACTCATCGGACTTCTTGCCGCCGGAGATGCTGACGCCCTTCCAGGTCCAGTCAGAGCAGCTGCCCTTGCCGCAGAGGATGTAGACGGGGGTGGCCTTGCTGGCAACGGAGCCAGTGACGCCGTTGACAGTGAGGTCAGTGATGGGGACACCAGTGGTGGGCTTGCCGGTGGGGCCACCGTTCTTGTAGTCCTGTTCGATGACGATACCCTTCTTCTTGATGTTCTTGAGGGTGATGTTCTCGTAGGTCACACCGCTGACGGAACCGGTAGCACCAGAGATGGTCTTGATACGGATACCGTTGTCGGAGTCAACGACGGTGGAGTCGGCAACCTTGACGTTCTTGACAGTGTTGCTGTCGCGGTTACCGATGGAGCCGATGGAGATACCGTGGCCGCCGGAGCAGGTAGCGCCGGTGAATTCGATGTTCTATGTCATGTTAATATCGGTGCGCGAGGTGAGGATGGTGAGGTTCTGATCCAACTTACCTCACCAGAGTTGATGGCCAGGCAGTCATCCTGGTTCTTGACATTGGCACCGGTGATGTAGACACCGTTGCTCTCGCTGACGTCGAAAGCATCGGTGTTGTGGCCACCCTTGCTGTCACCCTCGGAGTTGTCGATGGTGATGTCGGTCAGGTGGACATCGTTACCCTGGACACTGAAGACCTGGACAGGGGAGTTCTTGACGTGCAAGCCCTTGATGGTCGAGGACTGGAGCTTGTGGGCGTAGATGAACTTGGGCTTGGTCTTGCCACCGTTGGTGCCCTTGCCGTCCCACCAGCGAGAGCCCTGGCCGTCAATGACAGCGCCGGAGGCCTGGGTGACTGTGATATCCTTACCACCGAAGCGGATCAGGGGTCCCTTCCACTCCTTGTAGCCGAAGGTGGTGGTACCCTCGAAGGTGATCTAGAAGACGAATTGAATTAGCTACTCTTATCATGTACGGAGTATTACGCGGTTGGTTGAACGTACGGTGGCACCGTCCTTGGCCTTGGACAAATCAAGAGTCTCTCCGGCGGGGACAGCGATGTTCTTGAGGACGATGTTGGAGCAGCTCTTGGCGCTAGCAGAAGCCTGAGAAGCGGAGGTGAAGGTGCAAGAAGAACCCCTCTCAACCAACTCAGAGGTACGAGAAGGGGCGGGGGCAGCAGCGGCGAGAGAGCCGAGGGCGGCGAGGCCGAGAAGTTGGAAATGCATAATGAATGAATGGGTTCTGGTCAACAGAACGTACGGGAATGAATAAATGAATGTATAGGGCCTGTTCAACAGAGACAAGGAAAGCAAAGGAATGAAAAGCAGTGATTGGGTATTGGGGAATTCCCTGAGAGTCCTGGACAACGAGACATTTTATACCTCATGGTTCTCCATACTTAAGCTTCGGATCTTGAGCTTGGCGGTAGCGTGGGTCAGTTTTTCCATGATGCCGAATTAATCGAGTCATTGGTGGAATGGAAATCTCCACTGGAGACTGTTCCACCGTGCTATTATCAGTATCATCAACCTCTAACGACGGATTGCAGCCCTAGGAGGCGTTTAGGGCATAGCGGACCCATGGGCCCTGGGGGTTCAAGCCAAGATCGGGTAAGGCTCGGCCCCACTAGGAGTCCTCTGTTCATCTTTGGCCCAATAATCCCTAAAGCGCTCGGGATAATAGGTGCTTATCTGCCGGATTCCCTCGCCCATATCCGACGCTTTGTCTCATGCTTGTCTCACTCTGAGGGAGCTAGGTCCTCTACGTCCTCGAACCAGTGGCCATCGTGGTCCTTTCGGCACATCGGAAATGGTTGGAACTAATCCACAGGGTAACTCTGGTAAAGTTCACTAGCTAACTAAAAGGTTTTACCGTTGATTCTCCGGTGATGCCTATTCGTCGCTGTTTCAAGTCAGGGTTAATTGTTGATATCCCGTCGGTTGGGACCGAAGCTACCGATTATCCGACATCACGAATTTATCCATATTGGGCCTTACATTGTTGGTTTAATCTATCCTAAATTGGGTTGCCTGGAGTCCCTGAATCAGGGGTCTCATTTTTCTTTCAGAAAATAGAGAAGGATCAACAGTCAGAATCACCAATACGGATTTGTCATATTCGGCAAATCTCCGGATCAGCCTGGCGCTCTGACACCTCACAAAGAGATCGTCATATCATTCTCTAACCGAGTATTTTGGTGTTCTGGATTGATGAAATGTCGTCAAAGTCGTCGGGCAGTTGATCATGGCAGCCTAGACCATAAGGCAAGGGTTTGGCTCACTTGGATGCATGCTAAGAATTTTCGGAATTCTGTGTGATCCACCCAGTGGGTCAGTCCTGGCAAAGGCAAAACGGCTTTAGTGTCTCAGTTTCATCTGGATTTGGACTTCTAGAATTCGCTGTGGCACGCATTTCTTACCATAGGTGGAAGAAGAATCCGTTTACATTAATTAACACTGCATTTTACTCTCCCCGGATGTACCGGGAGCGTGGAAGGACGAGGGAGTTTCTCCGAATTCCAATATCGCATGATTCGCAGGGGAATTCTTCTCCTCCCCTTGACGCTGCTTGATCTCACCACGAAAGAAGAATACCATATTCGGAAGGTCTCACAGTCGGGGTCCGAATGACCTTCACGCGCCATGCCCACATGGAAGCTTTGAACAACCTACGCCTCGAAGAGTGCATCCGGACATCAGGATGAGTGATTTCAGACTAAACAAGAAGAACGAACAGTGGCCTAGTCATGAATGATACAGGCATCCATCAATAGCGGGCATTCTCGATTGTTTCTCCTGTTTGTAACAGCGCAAAGCGTACCGGTGCACTAACTGACTGCATTGAGCAAGGAACCAATAACTTTACCGACATTTACTGCCCTTCAGAATAGGCAAGAATCCAGACTAGTAATATCCAGGATTGTTCCATTAACTCTGATGAATATTGGCTAATGTAGTAACAAAAATAGGAACACTCTCCCCTCTGCTGTACGGCTCCCAGCCTCGGAAATTGCGTTTTTCTTCTTGTCTTGAATCGTGCCCAAACATTTTGAGGAATACCGCCCCGTCTCGCTCTCGCTATGGTATAGACGCCTATAATATTGATGGCATACTAATCCAGGAGTTGGCTGGCGTTGGATCGATGGCCCATCCTTTGAAATTTAGGCAGTAGCCTTTCTAGTTGGCATAACCTTCTCTACCCGCACTGTTAGAGGAGCTATCCCAAGGCATTGTAGGACAACACATTAATCGCGCATAGACTCTCTCGAATAGAGCAAAGAATATGTCGTTTATAATCTCTCTCGGTAATAGAGGTGAAAGGTTCTTGGTGGAGCTGTGGGTGCGAGGTAATGTGGCTGTGCTGGGCCAGTTTCCTACGAGGGCACCTCCTTTCACCTCCATTATAGTTGTCTGGTATTAGCCACGGAACAAAAGATAATACCATACCATACTATGGCAGGCACCGTAAGACATATTCTCCCAGGTCAGTAACTATATGGGATATCTTATGGATCAGATGATGCCGGGCGAAAGGATCCTGATTTTTGAGAATCACATGCTCAGCCGGATGCCGGAGAAATTCGATGTAGCAGCCACTTGTTGGTTCTGATATTCAGTTCACTAGAATATAGTAGGAGATTTGGTTGGTTAGAAAGTTCATTTGGCCATGTAAACCCTGTGCTGAAATGCATCATGTGGAGATTGATACTGTGTGGACGCAGAAGGTCATCGATGAATTATCAAAATCCCAATGGTTTTCTTTGGCAGAATAGAAGCTGTACACTCTCAATAGATCCAAGAGAGAGAAAGACGGTTGAGCAATGATCCCAGTAGTAAACTTCATTTCTATGTGTATCTATCCATCCGTAATATATATGATTGCTATAAAACATGCAGCACATATCCTCCAACACCCTGCTCTTGCTAAAACATGTCAACCATCCTTCCCACGCACGGATATTTATTAAGGAGACTTATATAATCATCAAAAAAGCCACAGCAGACAGACACAAATGAAAAACATAAAGGAAAAATATCTCAACACATCTGGCTTGCTGCTCTCTCCTCTTTCCTCTTCTGCCGCAGCTTCACCTGCCGTTTGGTGATGATATACCAAGACCCCAGGGTGAGCATCGTAAGTGGTACTGCTGCTACAACAAAAATCCAGAACTGCTTCGAGATTGTGAACCCTTTCTCATTTGAATCTCCGAAGTCAAAGAGATTCATTCCTAAAAGAGTCTGCACGTGTTGTTAGAACTGATATATGCATGGGTCTTGAGCGTAGCTTACCGAGACGAAGCTAGCAGGGAGGTAGATGAGGGTAACTAGCGTGACGACCCGGACAGTAGCATTATCCTCGAATGCCTCGCTGGTGAGCTGTAGCATCTTGTCGTTAATCTCGTTGGCTACAGTTTGGCCTTTCAGGTTGAGGGCAACTGCCATCTACATATGGATGAGCGTTGTTAGAGAATCTGAGAATCAGGTCATGGAGTGCCCAGGTGAAAGACATACCAAGTCTGAGATACCTTTGACTTTTCCTTCGAGCACTTCCACGCTTCTCAGGTACCCCTCGATAGTAGTTTTGTAGTACGCCATCTCGCTTGCCAATCGTTGAGAGTCATCATCAGTCGTGAACCCCTTGGATTGGAAAAGTGTATTGATTTCAGCCAGCTTGCGAATGGTTTCTAACGCAGCCTGTAGTCTAGATGAGAGCGGTGGGAGCTTGTCTCCCAGGTATTGCGGTGTCAATATTCCGTGGTCATCAGCCTTAGAAAGATTCAACGTCAGAGCGATATCAACCTAAGCAGATCATTAGCATTGCTCGACTTCACAAAGACTCGGTCGCATTTCAGACTGACAGTACTCTCGATCTCCTCACCCAGACTGCGGATACACCAGCGCCAGTTACCAATATATGCCGAAAATACGAGTAAATGCATCGAATACCAGCTCTTAAACACGCCTGCGTGCTGTGAAGTGATCTCAGCTTCGATCAACTGCTGCATCTTTGATCGTGGTCTCGCGTGAAAGAAGACCCAGAGATTGCCGGATCCTGCAGGATTATACCGGTGAAATACACATGTCTGTCGGATCGTCCATGGAACACTCCCCTGAGCCGCATTGCTCTCTGCATATGTAAATAGGTATTGCATGTCTGAAGGATCAGCATTATCATTCTCGTGCCGGCTTTGGGCCGCTTAAATACCGTATGAGCCATCTTCCTTCTGTCTCACTGTCATTGCTCCGTGTCCTGCATCAGCACTTTGTGGTTTGTCGCCGAAGGATACTACGAGGTCAAGAAGGGTCGCGTCGATGCCGTATGTGTTTATGAGAGTTCGCATCGCTTGTTCGGTGACTCCGAGGGGCCGCATTGAATTTTGACAACATATTGACCTAGTGGCCTGTAAGTTTAGATTCTGTATTGCTGTGTGAGGAGAGAACCTAACACTATACGTGTGTGTGGTTTGGACGTAGTCGCGATATGAGATCCGAAATCGTCGCTATTGGTGAATAGGTGAGGACCGTCCGTTTTGGGACCAGATGAGGCTAATATAGTAAGTAATCCCGGCTTCAGAAGCTTGTTCCAGGAACTGAAAACATACATACGAAGTCAAATAGATAAATATTTGACTTTTCCGGGCAAGAAACAAATGTTGGATAACGGAGATGAGGTTCTATAGCACCGTAATGCTCAGGCTTAAGCGGATTCAGCCGGCAACTGTTGCCTTGAAGTGGTGCGATGGTATGCATTCTCACAGTAAGTGCCCAGTATGTTCTAGGCGTCACACTAGAACCCTTCTGGAAGCAAATTTAGGAATACCAAAGATACCAACAAGTCGTTTATAACCAGATTCGCTCCCACATTCGACAATTTACAAGGCAGATTAGCCAGGCTAGGGGATGGTGGTCTAAGGCTGTAACATGGGATATCATTGCATGTAAGCAAACACAGCCAGCAGCGAATTACGTTACATAAAGTAGGGTACTTGGAAAATAAGGTAGGATTGCTGCGGTATCAAAGCCACATGAGTAGACCAAACGAAGTGATCATCCCATCCATGTCCATATCCGTATGACCAAAACACTCTTTCAATCCCGAAGATCGCTGGATGGCAATACAATAAGTCATACCGTGGTAACTGGCGCGTGCTGGACTATCTCCACTTACTCGATCTCACTCTAGAAGAAAGGAAAAAAAGATGAAATGAACAAATTAGCTACCGGACCAGAAGCTAATTTACCACTAAAGTTCGACTGAGCTGCTTACCGGAGCTACTATCCTTGGGGCGTCAAAAACCCATCGTTCATTGATATGCTTTGAAATGAACCTTGTATGTCAGCAACGTTGAGATATCAGCGCTATCAGCGAGGCTCCTTACGCGAACTTTGATCCGTTTGCCAAACAGGCTTAGAAGCCTAGCCTCGAGCCTTTCCTTTCTGATGTACCCTGTTAAGTCAGGGCTGATGGTGTTTTGAACGGACCCGCTCATGGTCAAGGTTGGCTAGTATGGCCTGGATGTAAAAGGGAAGAGGCAAGTTGATCTGAGCGCGGGGCGGAGGGCAGGTTCTCAGCTCTCTCAATACGGTTATAGGCAAAAAGAAACAAATCCTGGCAGTACAAAGGGGGCGCAGAGCCTCTGAAAGTTGTGAGGCTGTGACGACGCGATCCGGGCGCTGATTGATGGTCGTCTCGATTCCGACTTGTGCCCTTGTTTGTTCCCAAAATCACCCGGAAAGTTTGACGGGCGCAAGAATCACAGCCCGACAAGCTGGTTAAGCCAGTGAGGCTAGCAATGGCTTGAAGGATCCAGTCACCTTCACCCCGGTTGGGGTACGGCCACGTCAAGGCGCGCGCGGGGAATGGAGGATCGCTGCATGAGGAGCGGGGGATGTCAATCCATGCCGTATGGATTTTAGCACCGTTCGGAAATCCCCGGAAATTCTGCTCTTCCCGTTACGTGACGTTGAACCTAGGACATCTGAGTAGTGGGTACTCTCACGGCGAGAAGTTTAGTGTATTCCCAACACCGGAATCCATCGCAGAATGATCCCCAAGATGGAGAAGAGTGGTCTCGTTGGTGGTCGTGATGCACAGCCCCTATGCAGGTATCCAGTAGTCCGAGGAGTGAAACAGAGAAAAACAGAAAAAGAAAAAGAGGGCAAACAAATTAATTAAAAAGAAAAAGCAAAACCAATAGGTTGCAGTCCCGTGGGCGCTAAATCTCGTCCGAGACTGTCAGCTCTTACTATCTCTATCTCGCGGCAAACGCTTTGTATAACCACCACAGTACTAAACTTGGCTCTTCTACTGATTCATAGAGGTCAATGTAGGATGCTGATTAGAACCGTTACAGCACGGTTTGTGACACAGGCACAGTAGCTTGAAAGGGAAGTTCAGTAACGCTGGAGAGTGCCAAGGCAAGGCTGTACGTGATGATCGAATACGAGTATCCCTAGTCTTTCGGAAGGCGGCACACCACCAGGTTGATTAATCCACAAAATGAGCCTCATTTCCCCTTCATGCAGAGTCTATTTCGTATGGCTGGGTGGGCATTTATGACTTTATTTCTTGTCTCTACTAGAACTTGGATTATTGGCCAAGTCACCTTCTTTCTTTACCTTCACCTCAGCTTCGGGGTATTTTGTGCCAATAAGTGTTATTTGTAAAGCTACATCTCCTTTCAAGCGATATAAAGAAACTGCAGCTCAGATAAGCCTTGTATGCTCCACTTGATCCTTTGTTAGCCTTAAGGTGTGGCTCAAAACCATCGTATCTTCCGAGCCCCTTACTTCGCGCATACTGAATGGCTTAAGGTTGAAGGACTTCATGTAAGGGACAAATATGCGGGTAAAGAACTCAGCCAGGCGGTAAGAATTCTCTTCTCAGGTTTAATATGCTATTAAACTTTTTATCCAATGAAATTCCTGAGCCTCCCTCACTCCTGCTTGCGGTCGGTCATCATACTCATCTTACATTGAATCCTTCAGGCCTCGGAACCCGCTGCTACTGAGAACACCAGACGAGCTGGAAGATGACGTTCGCAAATTTTACGACCGGAACCACCTACAAGACGTGATCGACGTTGAGTTGCTTATCAAAGGAGCACGCATAGCACAAGAACCCGATAATCTGTACACCCTCGACTTAACCCCAGCAGAGTTCAAGGCGATAAAGGACGAAAAAGAGTCGGGCTTTTGGCAGCAAAGTAAAGATCTCAAGGTGACCATCCTTACCACAGCATGTGCCGCAATCACCCAGTAGGTACACCCGGGAGGAGGTGAAATCGTACCTAGGCCCCTGTTAACTAATTCCTATAGAGGCTGGCAGCAGTCCACGATCAATGCGGGTTCAGGAGGCTGGAAGCATGACTTGCAACCTAAAGGAGAAGACTGGACGCACGACCATCTATTGTTGGCTGGCTTTATTGATGCTGCGCCTTGGCTATCGGGCAGTATAATGTGAGTCGCCTAACAACCGTAAAACCACAAAGAGACACTGAATAAAGTGGTAGTGGAACATGGTTGAGTGATCCGCTCCAAGAGGGCAATTATGGGAGGCGACCAGCACTGTTCATTTCAGCTGTTTTTTGTGCTGCTTGTGTACTCGGTATAAGGAGTCTTAACCTCGTTCATTGAACCCAATTCTGACTTCGAAGCCAACAGGCACCGCTCGCTGTGTAACATGGCAGCAGCTTCTTGCTTGTCGCGTGATACTCGGTATTGGGGTAAGCCATTCATTCTGTCTGCTCTTGACAAAAGCTTACTAGATACCAATAACAAGATCGGCGCAAAGGCGTCAATCGCCCCCGTTTTTGCCGCAGAGGCGGCGGTAGACCATCTGCGAGGACGGTTATTGATGATGTGGCAGTTGTTCGATACTTTGTACGTTTTTATTGGTGTATCTCTGGATTTTTCTGCCGAGTGATTCTAACACATATCAATACAGTGGCGTTTTTGTCGGCTTCGCCTGTGATTGGATTGTCAATCGCCAGTGGAGGGTGCTTTTAGGGACAGCGTCGATTCCCGCTCTTATCCTCCTGTTCCTCGTCTTTCTATGCCCGGAATCCCCACGGTTTCTTATCCGTAGAGGAGACTATATTGGGGCATACGTGAGCCTCCGACAGCTACGAGGTACTGACATCCAGGCGGCGAGAGACCTTTATTATATCCATAGTCAACTACAGGTCGAAACGGAGATGTTTGATGGTGAGAGACCGCAGAACTGGTATAATCAAGAGATATACCAGGAGAGGGTCCGTGAGACAGGGTTCCTAAAGCGGCTTGTGATACTTTTCAGTCATCCACGCAACCAAAGGGCATGTGTGGCTGCATTCTTGGTAATGGCATCGCAACAGCTGTGTGGTGTAAGCCACTCCTCTCTAACATCAAGCTTATTGACATTGTAAGCATCATATATCTGATCATTGGGCTAGATTAACGTTCTTTCGTTTTACTCTTCTCGACTCTTCAATGGTGCAACCACCCAGGACAAGATTCCCGATACAAGTGATTCCCGGCAACCTGCTAATGTAACTTGGCTTAACTTTGGTAAGTGGAAGGAAACCTATATCCAATCTATCTGTATCGGCGCTCTTCTTTTAACTGGGATCAGGGTTCGGCTTGGCGAACTTCCTCTTCACCATTCCTGCCTATCGATACATTGATTGGCGTGGGCGTCGACTTCTTCTCCTCATTTCGCTAGCGGGAATGTTCCTCAGCCTTCTTGCTATTGGGTTTTTCTTTCGAATCGAAGCCAACACGGTCAGGCTGGCTCTTGTATCAACTTTTGCCATTGGCTTCTTCACATTCTTTTATGGTATCGGTGCTGGACCAGTCCCATTCACCTTCAGTGCCGAAGTTTTCCCACTTGCATTTCGTGGTGCGTATTTTGTTTTTCATCCATTCATTCTTTCTCTATTATTCTCCTATATAAGGCCAAAGGTTGGCTAGTTGAAAGCCATGGGATTGGCGCTAATTCTGCATTTTAGAGGTCGGCATGAGCTTCAGCGTTATGGTCAACTTCCTAGGTCTCGGGCTTCTGGTACTACTTGTACCCAAATTGACCGAGGCTTGGGGAAAATATGGAGAATCCAATTTATGTTTTCTTTTCATGTGAGCTTCCCCTATTCCTCCAATTGTAGATCCAGTCAGATGCTAATCGTGTGTCAGGGGACTCAATGCGCTGGCCTTTGTTCTTGTTTTTCTGTTCGTAAGTTCCCTATTATCTACGGGCCACCTAACAACAGCTAACGCCTAGTATAGGTTCCCAGTGGCACTGCAAAGGTGGGCCTGGAAGAAATGAACCAAATATGTACGGTCTTCACATTCGTGGCTCTTTCCTACCTTGATACATACTGACCGAGCCCGCAGTTAACACGAAAATGTCTGTTCATATCAAAGAGCATGTCGTTAGCCTTGGAAGTTTGTGTGGCCAGCGAAAGCTAGAGGATGAACCGCATAATCTCCAGCAATTTAATGATCATGCATAGAGCATGGTATAACAGCTCGCCTTCCATTGATTACATGGAATGCCTGTAGAGTACCTTTATTGTCCTTGATTTATGGCTTTGCTGGGCACCATATACCTTACAACGTTGATATCTATGTACCTTAACTTAAGGAGCCGGCTGTTCTCCCTCTCTTTCGTGAGGGAACCGAAATGCGTGTAGTAGAATTATGCAGTAATTTGAAAAGAGTCACGACTCCCAGTATTTTTCCGTTGCGGACCGGACTGTACAGCCACGTTTTACAGAAATTAGGGGTCGTCAGAGAAGACCCTATTCGCCGCCTCATTCTAGTCCTGACTAATTAGCTCCATGACCAGTCGTATTGGTCCAATAAGTCCATGGTGTCGAGGCGTTCGAGTCATTGCGATCGTGGCATGGAACCCCACGGGGAAGCCCCATTTGTCCTTGGCCGAGGCTGAGAAACTTAAGGACTCGAGATCATTGGGGTGTAAAATAAGCAGAGTAATTGATAGCAAACGGTCAACACGTGAATCAACGGAGCTAAGAGGTGACGTTGCCTAATTACTGCTTTCTTCGCAACCCCTTCCACTCTTACCTCTGTTACTCATCCTTCTTCCATGCAGGCACCGGTAACCCTTCTGCCAGCGCATATGTACTGCACATACTCACATTGTACGTATTTATTTGGACTCTACTACTGGCTTTCTGAATTTTAATTTATTTTTAATGTACACGGTTAGCTTTAAACGCTCGCAGCGACTCATTTGGACTGAAGCCCAGCCGTCCGTTTGAGCGTCGCTCGCGACCTCGACGCTACGGCCCATCTCACGCCCAACATGAGTCGTCATGATAATTTTCGCAATGCTTTCAATCTCCGAATGTCTGATGAGGAAATCGACGCCACTCTGATGGCAAATGGCTATAGCATGATTAGTCTTCACAACTCCCTCAACTCGTATTCTGGCGATCATAGCAATGACTCGTCACATCGATCCAGCTTTGAGGCGGACCGACAAGTTCCCAGAAGACTTACGCCGACAGAACATGCAACACCTAGAACAATTCCTAACCTATCCCAAAGTCCAGAAATTGAGACGTATGGGATATCTCCGCATCAGACTTACTTTCCTGATGATCGCTCCTATTATGGCGTTCACCCCAATCCTGCCAAGTCAGTATAAGAAGTGACCATTTGGACTTCATCCAGGTGTTATGTTTACTGACTGATCGACTTTATAGTTCAAGATATAGAGCACAGATTAGCATAGGCGACAGCCATCTATATCACCATGATTTACCGCCCATCGAAAGCCCTGCGGAACGGCGACAATCTATTCAACGGGAGTCGATGCTCAAAGAGCTCTCCCGGGCGTTGCAAACCGAGACCCACCGAAGAGACAGGCCATCGGAGAAGGTCGTAACTCGGCATAGCTTGGCAGCTATTTGGAGCGAATCTCGCTTAGAGAAATTCATAGACCTCGTAAGGCCCGGATTCGATAATGCCTGGATAGATATCATTCGGGAGGAGTGGCTCCAAACACTATCTATACTAGTGGATATCGGCTGGCAGGATTGGGCGAGATTTGCAGACATATTTCTCATGCATCACGACGAACATTGCGAATGGGACCGTACAGATCGAATGATCCCGACGTATACACTGGCGATTCTGGAAGATGATTCATTCTTGGGGTCCCCTTGGGCTGAAAAGTTTCAGGCTAGCCAATATACCTTCTGTCCGATTGATATCGAAGAAGGCAAGAGTCTAATCTTTTCAAAAGAATGGAAGCTCCCTTTTATTAACGAGGAATCTACAAGTATTGGGAATGGTGCATATGGCAGGGTCACCAAGGAGATCATCGGAAGTGGACATTTTCGATCTCGATCCGAACACCACCTGCCAGGAGCGCCTCACAGCGTAAGTCCCATCAGTTCCACACATATCTGATTATCCAGCTCGGGTAGCTAACCAAGCCCACTGGTTTTAGAAAGATATTGCGGTCGCTTTAAAACAGTTCGAAGCCAGGGGTGACTTCAGGTCCGAAACCAAAAACCTCGACGTACTTCGCTCAAGTCTCTCCAAGCATGATCGCATTGTTCCTTTCCTCGCGACCGTCACAATTGGCAATTCATTCAACATTCTTTCCCCATTGGCAGAGATGGATCTAGAGGTCTTCCTTCGCGAAGGGCATCAAAGATGCCCAGACTTCACGGTACGTGACCTGATGCAAGAGGCCGCGCATCTCGCTGGGGCTCTGGCCTTCCTTCATCAAGGATTAGACAGTTATCCACCAGGCCTTAGCTGCTGCCACATGGATCTCAAGCCAGGAAACATCCTTGTGTTTCATGGAGATGCCCCAGACTTTCCAAAAGTGGGAAAGTGGAAGATTTCTGATTTTGGAATTTCGATTATGTCTAGACCTGAGAGAACTGGCACGACTGTAACGGAATTCGTGGATTCATTCACCCATCGAGAGAGATTATCGCCGCCTCCTGGCCCATATCAATCACCGGATGGTGCAGGGCATGGCCTTAAGAGCGATATATGGTCCTTAGGGTGTATTTTGACCCGGGTCCTCGCGCTCGGGTTAGAAGGGGCAGATGGACTGATGCATCTTGATCAATTAAGGGGGAAAGATGATGATGAAGTATCCCCTTACGAGAATGACTATTTTCACCGTGGCTCGCCTCCTGTGCTGAATCCCCATGTCCGGACTTGGCTTTCTGGGCTGGTGGTCAGCGGCCGGTGTAGGTACAACCCGGACTTTCTGGAGGGCTGTCGGTCTTTGATCCTTTCTATGCTCGCTATCAGCCACGATGACAGACCGAGTGCTAGGGATGTTCAAGAGCAACTACATTACTTGGTTGACATTGCTCAACCGATTGTCTTTCGGCCACCCAGCACTAACACCAGTATCGGTGGGTCGGCGTCAGTTGGCAGTGGGTCAGACACCATAAGTTTCAGCAACAGGGAAATCCAGCTGGGGGGGGAACGATTTCTGTTGCATGCGATTAGCCTGTGGAATGGGGACATCGATATTGAGGAGAGGGTTTGGGCCGACGATGATAGGCTACTAATTTATGTTATTCGGTTGGGTTTCGCACTGGCCCTTAAGGTTCTCCTGGCTCGCCAGCCGAACCTCGACCTCGAAACCCCAGATTCCAAAGGAGACACGCCTCTCAAGATAGCTGCTACTGCTGAGGGGGAGCGTTATACGCACGTTATTGAGATCCTTCTTAACGCTGGTGTGAACATTGACGCCCCATCCCGAAAAGGCGTCACTCCACTCATGTCAGCATGCAGGCACGGCCATGTGTCAACCGTCCGACTTCTTCTAGACCGTGGAGCGGACTGCTCACGCCATTCTGAGGATGGCTATACAAGTTTACACTACGCTACGTATGGTGAGAATGGAGCGGAGATCATCGAGCTTCTCACAGGGAGAGTGTCCTTTGATATTCGCCGTCCCGGCATTGATGAAACCCCTCTGCTCACACTGATCAAACGGTATGATGGCACGGAATCGTGGTGGGCCAAGTTCGGAAAACTTTTACAAGGGTCCGCAGACATCAATTTGGCCGATGCAAACCGTTGCACGCCTCTGTCACTTGCTGTAGAGGAAGATCACTCGCAATTGGCAGCCATACTCCTAAGGGAGGGAGCCGAGTATGGCGAGCGCCCCAAGCCTCGCCGCTTATCTTCTGATATGATCAGGGTGCTCAAAAAAGCGCAGCCACAAGGACGTCGGCAGAGTCAAGGCAGCTCTGGGTCATCGACTAGGACTCGTTCGAGTCTTGCTCGCCGTTTTTCTGCGCTTGGATTTATGAAATGAGATACTTATGTGTTTCACTATCTTGGTCTCCCTCACTCTTTTCTTTGCTTTCTCGTGTTGCCCTTTTCGTATTATTTTCTTTCATTCATTCATTCTTTTTTTTTGGTAGTCACCCAGATCCCCCTCTTGTTCCTGTTCTAGTTTCTGTCTTTGTCCCTTCATCTGTGTCTCTAATTCTCTGTCTGACTCTTTAGTTCTCTATATCTGTGTCATTATTTCGAACTTTTTATCTTTGCATTTCTTTTGTCCATTTCTCTGTCTGTCCTTACATCTTCCTCTCTTGATATTTTCGGAAGATCGTTAGATTTGCTTGTGAGGAAAAGTGGGTCGCTTGTATTATGGAGTAGGGTGTATGATGGATGGTATACCAGGTCTGATCTATTGAGATAAATATATAATGCTATATGAGTGCTATGATGTCATAATTCCGAGATATCTTCTGATCGGTAGGACCTGATCAAATTCCCTATACAGAGCACATTAGTTAGAGTACTGTAGATTCTACTACCACAGACAATCTAACTAATTCTAGTAAGTACTACACTCTACATCCCAATATCACTACCAGTAGTATACGTATACTTGCACCTTGGGTTTCCGATCACGAGTCATACAAACAACCAAAGAAATATGATTGGCCAATGGAACACCCGAATCCCCCCTAGCAAACCAAACAAACCAAACAACCCCCCGTCCGCCCACGGAAAGATATACCCAAAGCGACCGGTCAGGTGTCATCATCAGCAAACGCAAACAACCCTAACCATCACAATCCAATCCATGAACACCATCAGCACCTCAAACCAAATGTACGCCCACACCTCCCGACCTTCTTGAATCCCTCTCCCGCCCCCCTTCCACCGAACAACCCCTCCGGGAAGGCAAGACCTGCCATTCCATGGCTTCGTCATCACCGGACACAACGCTCCCATTCCTCCAATTCCCCCCGGAAGTCCGCCTATCCATCTACCAGTACCTCATCCCGGACCTCCCGATCCGCAATTTCTCTCTGCTCCGCGATCGCTCGAAGACAATCCACCTCCGACACGATGGCTCGCGCTGCTGTCCGGCGATTCTGCGCGCAAACCACCAGATCTACGCCGAGGTGATCAAGGAATGGTACGGATCGACGTCCTACGAAGTGGTCCTGGATACGAAATACATCTTGTTCTGTGGGAAGGTTATTCCGCCGTATGTGCCGTTGCCGTCGACAATTCAGTGGGTTCAGTCTATGCGACTGTGTTTGTCGATTCAGGGGACGCCGCGGCATATACATAGTCAGTCGACGTTGGAGCATCTACTGGGGTTCCAGGATCGGTTGACGACGCTGGCGGTTGCGTTGTCCGATAAGGGCTATCGGAAGCTGAGTCGGCTGCAGATTGATATCGGGGTGAATATTCCACTTTTGTTGAGCTTGAGTAAGACGCCGAGTGAGTTGTTGGAGTTGTTGAATTGGAATCTGCTCCCGTTGAGGGAGAATGTTCGGGATGTGCCTGATGTGCGGTGGGAGTTGCAGGAGCAGAGTTATGGGATTCAGAGTGAGGAGTTTCAGCGGTCGTATGCGGGCATGAAGTCTATTATGTGTGCTTTTTTGCAGGATATGCGGCTGGATATGTTGGAGAGGCCGGATGGGTGATGGTTGGTCATTGTTTGCTGTCTTTCAGGCTTACTAGGTATACTAGGTGGGGATTGGTGGTGCTTCCATCTTGTACTGGGTGAGCTTGTGCGATTGGTCTGCCATTGCGTTGGTGTGTGACTCTTTTGGTCACTGGGACTTAAGGAGATGAAGTGGGATTCTCTTATACGTATATATTTATATATGCGCGCGACGTCATGGCAATGTCGCCCGATTAGGAAGGAAATGGGAGTGGATTGCCAAGTGATCGGTGGGTCATCTCCACTCACTAGAGCTTTTCACATCCAGGTCCGGTATCGGTAGTTGAGCGCCCCATCTTTTATTGCTGAGCAGAGTCTTGGGTGGCTGGTAGCTGGTAGGTATGACAACCTCAAAGGGTTTATTGAGACAATTGCTTAACCGTGCAGTTTTAGGATCCAGAACGACAAAGGATTTAACTTGGACGTTTAATGTTACATATTAAATTTCATGCCCTAAATATTTTAGACTATCATGATAATCGTCACATGACATCACTTTTCAGTTAAAGAAGATAAGAATATTCAAGCGTGGGAGGGGGAATCTAAGCCCGGCTAAGGTTCTCGCCCTCCTCAGCCTTCTGCAGACCGTACTTCTTGAGACTATTATGGGCGTTAGCGCGGGGAGAGCTATAGGACGGGGTATAAAGAGAGACATACCGGATGGAGCTGATGGAAATGAAGCCGGTGGTGTCGGTAGGCTCGAAGTCCTCGAGCGAGTCCATGGAAGCCTCCTCAGCATCGTACAGCTTCTCGGTGCTGCTGGAGCGACCAAGAATGTAAGGGTTACCCTTGTAGAGGCGCACACGGACCTCACCGTTGACGCGCTTCTGACTGAACTTAAGACTGTTCTCGATGAACTCACGCTCGGGGCTGAAGTAGTAGCCGTTGTAGAGCTGGATGGACCAGTTGTGGGTCACGAACTGATCACGGAGAGCGCGGACCTGGCCGTCCAGGACGAGACCTTCAAGGTCAAGGTGGGCAGCACGGAGGATAGTCATAGCGGGGGCTAGAACATGGTTAGCTAGAGGATAACGTATGGCAGGGTGAGCTGAAATAATGCATACAGTCATAGCAGCCACGGCTCTTGAGACCGATGAAGCGGTTCTCGACAATATCGATACGGCCAACACCGTGGGTGTAGCCGAGCTTGTTGAGGGCATCGAACAGCTCAACGGAGTCAGTGTACTCCTTCTCGGGAGTGACAAGCTTGGTGGGGATACCCTGCTCGAACTGGATGGTGATGTCGGCAGGCTCGTTAGGGGCGTTCAGAGGGTCGGCAGTCATGGTCCACATATCAGCGGGAGGGGTGTGGTTGGGGTCCTCCAGAACACCGGCCTCGTAACTGCAGTGGGCGGAGTTGGCGTCCATGGACCAGGGCTTGGCCTTGGTAGAGGTAACAGGGATGCCGGTCTGGGCGGCATAGTCGAGGAGATCGTTACGGCCAGCGAAACGCTTGAAGAACTTGGGATCACGCCAAGGAGCGATGATCTTGATGGAGGGCTGGATGGCATAGAAAGCCAATTCAAAACGGACCTGGTCGTTACCCTTGCCGGTAGCACCGTGACTGACGAACTGGCAGCCTTCGCGCTGAGCGGCACGCATCTGGGCGCGAGCGATGACGGGACGAGCCAAGCTAGTTCCTAGGAGGTAGCGACCCTCGTAGATGGCATTGCACTCTGTATCACAGGTTATTCAACGGTTCATGCCTACGAAACGCATCTTGGTCGGCTTACGGATGGCAGGGAAGCAGAGCTCTTCGACGAACTCCCGGCGCAGATCCTCAATCACCATCTTCTTGGCACCGATCTTGAGGGCCTTCGCCTCAACAGCGGCCCAGTCTTCCTCCTGGCCGACATTGCCGAGGAAGCAGACAACCTCGTAGCCCTCCTCTGTTGCTCATTGTTAGTGGCCATTGGACGAACGGATGGGAATTGGAGAGTTGTACCGATCAACCAGCGAAGAATACAGCTGGTATCCAGACCGCCTGTTCAAAATCCGCCAGTGTTAGCGACATAATCTTCCGGTCAATTGTTTTACTATGGAGGGATTAGTATACCAGAGTAGGCAAGACAGACACGGGGCTTCTCGGTAGCCATTGTGAATGAAGGAAGAGTTATAAAGGGAAGGGTAGAGAGATGGTGGATGGGCGAGGAATCGGGAGGTTATTTTTTCTCTTTGAATTGGGAGTAAAAGAAAAGAAGTTGTGGTCGACGATCAATTAAATTTAATTCAACAAAAGCGACAATCCATTGAGTCACGGGGGGTTGAGTCATCTGACTGGGGCAAGCGATATGTTATCGGAGGGGCTACTCCGGATCGGGGTTAACCCGGTCCATGATTGGCAGCGGATATTATGTAACAGGAAGCGAGCATACCCGCCAATCGCATGCTTCCGATAAAGAAAGCGGAACCATATAGTCACGTGTATATACCCCGCATTGCCTTTTGAGGATTCTTCTTATATAATAGCTCGATCATGCCCTACCAAACTAGTGGTATACTACTGAGGATATGCAGTCGTCAGCCTGTTTGCTGTTGCAAGTTTCGCATATGCATTGTGACTATTCATGCACCTGGGAGAATCTTCCTTGTCCAGTGGTCCACTTCTAGTTGTAGAATTTCATAACGTTGTCATGGTTTATGGTGACAATACCTGTAGAATCAACACCTGTGACTTGGGCTACTATAAGAGTGAGTCTGAAAGTGCAGGAGACATGGATGAGAACTCCCCTGACAGTCCCATCCACGGACTAAGAGCATCCGGTATCTCCCCCTGTCATGTACAGAAATCAACAAAGGCAAAGCTCTCAGCAAGCCTCCTGGTAAGAGCCCCGAAAAGAATGCCAGTACGGATCAAAAAGCATGTCGCTTCTTATATTTTAACAACTGATGTCACCTCCCTACCCTCATCGGGATGACTGAGACTTGAGAATGAGGGATTGTTCATCTTTGGCGTTGGGGTACTATGGTACTCAATTTCCGAGATGGTGTGGAAATCTAGTCCGAGGAGATAGTGAAACAACTGCCCCTTGTCCGAATATGAGACACGTAGCTTTGGTCAGATCTAGACCGATGCTCTCCAAGGGACTGACGTGGACATCCAAGTCCTTGCAGATTTCCACGGGCAATGCCAGACGCCAAATAGCAACAGATCCCAGTCCCTGTAAGCTTGGCATAGCGGGCCAAGACTTCATCGGGACCATTTTACGTCGAAAATTTTATATTGGAGGATTTATGCCTTTCATTTTGTCAGGAAAGCCCGCATATATGCAAGAGTCGGCATCATCTGCACGCTGTTGTAACGGAGGAATGGACTATATGTAAAGAGTAGGTCGTCGGCAAGCTTACTTTCTCACTACCAGCCCTGATCTCAATGGTACCTTTGCACGACTCTGGCACTGTTTGGAAATCGTTGATGCGGTCCTATCTACCTGACTCTTAACATATCACATCGACTACCCTATTTTATGCACGCTCATTCTGCCATAGACTCCGTCCTGATTTGTACCGATATGTGAAAACGGTAGCAATAGAAAGGCGATCGCCCCGTCAGTGAGGCACGGAGAGGTTCTCCGAATAGACGGAGCTAATCTGATTGAAGAAGCTGAGATTCCGGCAAAAGGACTTCCTATAAGCCTCGTGTTCGGCAAGTAAAGCTCTCCAGAACGAGTATCAAAGCCGTCTGAACGCCATTCGGGGAATGGTAACCCCCGATCCGTACGTAAGATGACTATGTCAAGCACTGCACGTTCCCAACGGTACCCTGTCCATCAGTGAATGCAGTGAGCGACGCCAGTCCAGTCAGTGACTGAGATGGCCAAAAGAATGGAACATGACACTGTTAGTCGCGCACTACTTAATTGATGAGTAGGTTCGCCCTGCTCTCGACATCGTCTATGGTCGAGGTTCCTCTTACAAAAAAGCCCTCATACCTTCCATTACAATGACTTCACAAGAGCGTCCACATATCATATTTGGCACTGCAGCCTTTGGAACCGGATCACCTCTGGCCAAAATTCAAGATGACGAAACTGCAGCGCCGATTATTGCCACCCTCCAAGCTAGAAATGTGACCGATGTGGACACAGCTCGCGCATATCCCGTGGGCTCTCCAGGGGCAGCAGAAAGACTTCTTGGCGAGTTAGGAGTTGCTACCTGGGCCAACCTCTCGACCAAGGTCAATTCTTGGGCGCCTGGCACCCACACTCCGGAACGAATCCAGCAAAGCGTGGCGGAGTCGCTCGAAGCATTGAAGACGGACAAGGTGGACATCATGTATCTGCATTCCCCGGACCGCCTTACTCCGTTCGAGGAAACATGCCGAGCCATGGATGCTGAATACCGCAAAGGAAGGTTTGCCCGTTTTGGCATCAGTAACTACACGGCAGATGAAGTCGAGGAGATCGTGACGATCTGTGAGAGGCGCGGCTTTGTCAAGCCTAGTGTGTATCAAGGCCGATACAATCCTGTCATCCGATCTGGGGAAACACATTTGTTTCCTGTCCTCAGACGCCATGGGATTAGCTTCTATGCATATAGGTATGAGCTATTTTTTCTATCAATGGGGATGTCTAATAAAACACTAACTTCACGTTTTACTCTTAGTCCAGCTGCCGTGGGCCTTTTCACAGGAAGACTATCGCAGGACCCAAGTCAACTCGCTGGATCGCGATGGGATGGCAGTGTAAGTCTATCTTAGTGCCATGCCAGATAGCTATAACTGACATATAGACCGTGCTGTGTAGACTGCCTCGGGAAAGATCTATCATGACGCTTATTACAAACCGGCAGTGATTGCGGCAGCTCAGACCGTAGCAGATGCAGGTGCAGCAGCTGGAGTTAGTGGACATGAACTGGCGTTGCGGTGGACGATCTACCACTCGGCGCTGAGCCGTGAACACGGGGATGCGGTGCTTATCGGCGCGTCAAGTTTGTCACAGTTGATTCAAAACCTTGATGCCGTTGACGCGGGTCCCTTGGATGAAGAACTGGCGAAGTTGGTCAGTAACGTGGGAGATCTTGTCGGGGACGAGGCAGCTTCATACCACGTTTAATTATGGTACTAGTACCGCCCCCCCCAGGGGGTGTCGATTGTGGCATGCACCGTACACCAGGGTTGAAAGTGCTCAGCTCGGTGGTCTTCCCGAATAAACGTTGTAGCTGTAGCTGGAAGGCGTTGCCGTGTGTGTACATCGCATGAATGAACTGACAAAGCCATAATATAGTTGTCCTTGCTGCACCTTTCGACTCTTTCATAAGTATATGAATAAGAGCGTAGGACAGGAGTAACACTTTAATGGACTATGGTTTAAACCCGGATACTCCGTCATTGGTGGAGACTAAGAGGCCGCATTTAGCATGAAGTCATTGGCTAACTATCTCGAGAGAGATAAGTAAAGAAAAAAAATTGAAAATTGAAAAGATGAAACAAAGAAAGAAGAAAGAAAGGAACTTTGGTTAGTTCATCGAACCATCCACCTAGTAAGGTATAGAAAATGGGCCTTTAGACAACATAGAGTCATATGCACAGCCTGTGAGGTATATGGTCAGCAAATCTAGTGTAGGTACGTATATATCTGTCTACTATATTCTACAGATACAAATGACCTGCTAAGAACATCCAGGTAAGTTCTTTATATATGGCAGTTTTGAATATCCTTACATCAAGCGATCAAAGCACAACCGTATATTCCCTGAAAAATGAGATAGGCAGATTGTGTCATTTTCTGGTTAGCTGTTGTCGCCATACTTCCATATCAATTCTTATACCCCACTTATATCTGGAATATACTCTCTCGCTCGAAGCCGCGGGAAGCCGCGGGAAGAAAGCACGGCAAATGAAAAAGGAGATGGGAAGAACTAGTGTTCGCGGGGACCGACGGTCGATCCTACTGGTTCTATGCCATGGGAGATTATAGAGTCTGTGTTATCACTACAAAAGTGCAGATTATGATTGCATGATAGGCACCAATATATGCTGCATAAACCTGATCTCATAGCCAATAAATAACGTTCGACGCTAGTAAGAAGGAGGTAAACTAGACTCAGAGAGAAGGACCCGACTAATTTAGCTTGACCCAAGACCAAGAGAGAGTTACATGAGAAAGAGAGAGAATTGGCACGAATTCAATATACCACCGTTGGCCCTTGAGATCATGAACGACAGCGACGGCTATCATAATCAAATCATACTAAATGATTTTACAAATGTTAGAAACTGAGGGGGAGGAAACCTTCTAACCGAGTAGGTACGTGCAACGAGAGAAGAAACGACTAAGGGCTAGACCAACAGACCATGATGCGCTACAATATATCCGACTCAAAGGTTATTGGTTCGCAAGAGAGGGGGGATCAATTGTTAGTCGGACCGGACCGATACTGAGAGGGGTTCAATTAATGAATTGATATTAATATACATAAATATATTGAGGAGTGGGGCAGAAATGACAAGAGGAGAGGTCAATCTAAGTCGTGATTCGAGCCATTGGTGGTGATATGAAGGTGACTCTCTATCTAATTGGCATCCGGTATTTCCGTGCAGTAAGCACAAGCACCGTCATTCCTCACAACAGTTTTGCCGAAAACCCTTGTACGGTTTTGAATCATGCATTAGTGCGGGTCTTGGTTATAGCCAGAGTAAACAAGCACTACCCATGAGAGTGCCAAGTTACGCTGCCCCACCGGAATCAAGGCTTAACAATAACTCATTCAAATTCTTATCTCTCCTCGACCATTCCAGTCACTGGCCTTGCTGTAGGCATGGTCTGATTGGAGGTCGCGAATGGCATCAAAGACGCTATCTTGAACTTACTAGTTTAGCATGTATTGTGCAAACCTGCGCGCTCGCAAACGTGACTGCGCTAGTGGATGTAATCTGAAGATTTATCTTGTGGTCAAGGCGGAGACCCAATGATCTTACTGAGTCTCAGCATATTATTTCAGTTATACAGCGACGAGATTCAGTAATGCATCCAATGCGTTCCCTGAAAATTGCTCTTCTATCGATTAATAAAAAAACAAAAAA